TGGTAGACTACAAAGTCTACGAGCTACAGCAGCACCGCCACCTCCGCTGCTGCAGGACGCCACATTCTGTGATGCAGGACCTTGCTTTTGTCTCAACCGTCCGCGAGATGTGAAGACCGCAACCACACAAAACACGTTGTTTCCCTCGACATCGTTTGTTCGACTGGTGTTGTGGACGGCAGCAAATCGCGGCGCTATAAAGCTCCCATTGGGGTATCGGCGATGTTCCTTCACTCAAACGCAAGGCCTTCCGCAGAACGGCGGCGCCCTACACCAAGGAGCTCATTGCGAAGCTAGAGCTCACCAATACCGACATCGACAGCCGATGGGAAGCACCCGACATGTGACGGCAACACCAGGAGCGCTTGCTCGAAATCGGATACAGTACCAGATTTTGTGACGCCGATTTCGGTTGACCGGCCATAACTTCGTCAATACTTAATTTTTTATTTTTTTTCAAGGGTGATCTACACAGCAAACCCGACAAGAATTGTTCAGGGACCATCATATCGATTTAAGACGTTCCTGAAAAATCACAGTTTTCGTATAGGATTTTCAAGGCTTTTTGGGGGGGGAAGGGATGAAACTTTTCGCCAGTATCTCGACAACCACTCACAATGTATGGTATTCCTATCCGTTTTTTCCCTTTCTTTGTAGACAACGCGGGGTTTGAGCAGACAAACACAATGGCGGCGCCTTTAAAAAAAAAAAAAATCACTTGGTTAGTATTGACTATGTATGATACGTATGTGGGCATGATTTCAAAAATTTGGTTCAGACTAGTTTTCGGCTGGAGGCCCATGAGGTTCGGAAATGGAACTGCTGCAACAAAATACAACAGAACGAGGGCTTCAATTATCTGCAACTTTTTTCTGCGGGATCGACGTAGTTGCTGAGATATGGTGGATTCAGTGGGGTGAAGTGCCTTCTGGGCGGTGGTAATAGGTCCGTAACTTTTTTGCCACAGCGAACCCGCACTTTCTGAAGGGCTCATTCGAACGCCCCTGGCGTGAGCTTTCTGGCGTTTGCATGCATAGTATATTTTTTTTTTCCCCAATTTTTGGACGACCCTTTTTTTTTTCGTGGTGCACCCCAAATCGGCGTCACAAAATCCGGCTCTGTATACTTCCTCTGTATCATAAGTTAGGGTACCTAAATGCAATAGATTGTCTGGGTGCAACCGTGTTAGTGATGGAAGCATAGTCGGGTTTGTAAGAAAGATATAACAAAGAAGAAGCGATAGAAAAAATAAAATAAAAAAACGAACATCTATCTCTGTACCTAATATCGGTCAAAATATACCCTATTTTGGCCTGTTTTGGGAATATTTTTGAGAAAATATTATGGGATTGTTTTTGAGAATTCTCGAAAAAAATCTCAAAACCATCTGATATTAGTACCCTACCGGCCCACTACTCACTCTAGCGATGGAATCGCCCCCCAGC